TCTTTCCAATCATACAAATATTTCAAAATGATATAAAATTAAAAATAAAATACAAATAAATAAGTTTTTAAAAAAAACATAACATATTGAAAATATAAAAAATATTGTTAGATCAACTATAAATTAAATTAAAACACAATTGATAACACAGATATTACAGAGTCAAATTACATGTGAGTAAGATACAAGTATATTTGCATGTTTGTAATTAAATTTAACTTTTTTTATTAAAATAGTTGCAATTTAATTTGTTCATAAATATTTTATTTTAGACAGAAAGCTTGCATTAAAATTAATCAATGAATTTTTAAATATCTCTTTTGTGGTATTGCTTATCACATATCTATTATTTGTTATGTTAAATACATTGCCCTTTCAAGCAACATTTTATACAAACTAACACAGACGTTCTCTAACTGTGACCTCCTGGTCATGTGCATTTTGTAGATGAACTCTTTCAATAACTGTTGTTCAACATGAGTGGTTAGTTCCTAGCACTTGCCCATAAATGTTCAAGTTTTTCAACCACTCTGATTGGCTGTGTCATTTAAATTTTTTAAACATATTCACATAAAATTCTTGCTTAATTCATGATATTTCTTTACGTAAGTGCACTTAAAGACATGTTATTGATAAACAATTACAATAACATTTTAAACTAGCTGCTAAAATTTAATACACCATTAAAAGAAGAAAAAAAACTCTGCTTCATATTTAATTTACTCACCTACTTCCATGATCGTTTAGAAATCATCTTTGTTACTTAGCATGAAATAGAAACATCCTTTAAAAACATATTATATTATCATATTATGATTTTATATTATCATTCAGGAAACAACATTTGCCTGTTCAGTTAAAATAAAACTCAGAAGACCAAAGATAATTAACAGAACAAATGTGTTTTCAGGAAAGACTTTTTAAGAGAAAATAATTGTCATCCATGTTACAAAGAGAGAGAACCCACAAAACCTAGTAACTCTCGAACCATTTATCAATGGGATAACAATAGTCAGTTGTGAGTTGTGCAGGCAGGGAGTTATGTTATTAAAATATATCTATGCAAACAAAATTATTCTATTTAAATGCAATCTATATATTTTTCCTTAAAAAAAGTATGAACACACACTAATAAAAGAAGTTTTGTTATTTCAAGGAATTGTGCTGATACATTGTTTTAGAACTTACATGCAAGGCTTCCTTTTATCGTTATTTCCTCATATTCTTAATAATAATAGACTATTTCTTTTACAATATTGAGATAATCATTAAACATTTAATTAGAAATATTATTAAAAATGACAAGAATAAAAAATTGACACCAGTAAAATAAGTTTACACTTTTACTTGAATTATTTTTTCACTGAATTGGTATTAATTAAAGTGTTAGTGTATTGAATAAAGGATTGATTAATACATTCTGCATTATTTTTTAAATCGCTGACTTCCTGATTGCTGTCTTTATTTTTATTTTTTAATATGCTATAATTTTCTTACATTTAAAATAATCTTAAATACAAAAATAATCTCTTTGGATATTATTTTTCGTAACATAATTAATAACCATAAGTATTTTTATGAAAGGAGAAAATAACAATTGAGACAATGTTAGACTTTTATTTATTTAATTTCTAATGCTCGGGCAGAAAATAAGTAGAGATAGTAGAGATATTTTCATACTATCTTTCTCATAAATAAAACAGTGTTATTAAAAATACTTTTATAGTGTTAGTGTATTCAATGATTGATTAATACATTCTACATAATTTTTCAAATCTTTAATTTTCTAATTGCTGTTTGTTTGTTTTTTATTAAATACGCATATTGAAAAATTCTCTATATAATTTTTCAATGTTTAAAATAAACTTAATTATAAAAACAAGCTCTTTAGATATTACTTTTATCAATCCAATTAATATGTAAGTAGAAAATAGAGATAGTATTATGCCCTTCGATTAAATTTTTAATGATGGGACAGATATTAAAAAATAAGTGAAGTTATGTTGATATTATCTCGCTCATAAATAAATGAATAATGTCATTAAAATTTTAATAAGAAAAATTTTTTAATTTACTGTCGCTATTCAAGACAGCAAATCTCTATTATAAATAGTGCCATGTATAGTGTCTGCATTTTTGAAGAGTGTCATCCATAATAAATTTTATAAAAAGTTTAACAGTTAATAACTCAAAAACTACATATCAATATTTTTTCTTCTCTAGTGTACTTTCTACATACTGTTTTCAATGCATGTTTCTAACTGTGACAGTTTCTACTCAGCGAAGAAAAATACACAATAATATACAACATCAACATATTTTCATTAAATATAAAGAGATTAAGCAAAAAGATATAACATAACTTCTAAAAATTCATTGATATTTTTTAACAGTTTACACAATATCAACAATCCTGCAAACTAAAGAGTTTTTTTAAAAATTTAATAGTTTTGTGGCAAAAAAAATCCTTCAACCTTTTTCACAGCATAATAAAATCAAATCAGTACAACTGCAAACAATTTTCATTGACATTAAAAATGTTAAGATAAATATCATTCATAGACATTAGAAAATAAAAAATAATAAAATAGATATAAGAAAACAAAAGAAATAAAACAGTTAACACAAAATTATATACAATTCCCATAAAATATAAAATATTGGTATATTTAATGTGTATATTTAAAAACAATTTAGTAGAATTAATAGCTACATTCTTCTTATCAGGATTGGATTTGGCAAATTTTTTAAAAATTGAAAAAAAATTACTATAAGAGATAGCTTTCTTTCAACTGAAAAAGTTCTATCTCATTTGTAATTGCAAATTTTAATCATTTTAAAATTATTTTCAAAAAAGATTTTCGTTTAAAATATTAATACTAATTATTATGTTACTTCGGAGAAAACTAAACAATATTACTAGTAAAAGGAATCAATGCAATTATAATTATTATTTTATCAAATAATGGAACATCTTTACAATTAATTGACATAAAACTCTTATATTGAATCTTTATTATTTTTTTTTAAAAATAAACGTTTCTGTAAACTTATAAGTTGCTTTATATTGTCAATTACAAGAGCCAATTACACTACTTAATGAATAAGGTGCCAATATTCCAGATCTTAAATGAAATTTAATGCTGAAAATTTAATTATGAACTTGAAATTAACTAGAATGATTAATATATCTTAAAAACAAAAAACCTAAAGAATAGAAAATATAAAAAGCCATTGAATATCAAGCAATAATTAATAAAGTATTAATATTTAAACTCAATTATCAATACATCAGAAGAATAAAATATAAGCTAATAAAGATAAATAAGTTTAGAGCTGATAAGTGTTAAACAAAAAATAACACTTCCCAGTTATGTATTGATCTCCAAGATTATAGAAAATTCGCAATTTATATTCAATGCTGGTAAGATATTTTACTCAAATATTGCACTGGTTGATTCTCAAATATTGCACTGGTTGAAAATGTCTCATACTACAATGCATGGTTAAATAAATGGTTAAATATATTAATATTTAATATGAGAGGTTAAATATATTAATATTTAATATAAGACTAATAACTGATTTTAAAGCAGTAATAGAAAAATGACCAGTTTTAATTGAAAATAAATAGTACCCACACATATGGGAGTTCATTTGAGTGGATAACCTCAAAAAATGCATTTTCAATAATAAAAACTCTTAAGATTAAACCAAGTATTCAGGAACGAAATAACTCCACAGAATAACCTACGTCAAATTGAACTGAAAATAATCAGTTACTTGAACAGAAGAATCTGGATTTAAAATAACAAAACACATATATGCTTATCCGGAATTCGTGTATAAAAATTAAAGGAATAATATGATATGAACGAATAACAAATTTTAAAACAAAGACATAAAATAGTAAAAGAAAAATATCAGTTGTATTTAAAAATAATCAGTGACCATGAAGATGGGAGACTATTGAAAATAAACAAGTATGATTTAGCACTCACACTAAAATAAAGGATACTGTGAAAAAAAAGAAATAATGATTTTAACTGTTGCTCAATTACTATTTAGAAGAGATTTGTAGACACAGGTGTTGAAAAACCAGATGCTTTCGAAGAAAAGAAAAAGTTGACAGTTGTCTTTGAAATCATTCAAACAGAGAGTTTCAGAGGGGAATATCCAGAGATAAGGTCATCTTTTACTCAGAAGGGAGTCATCACATGCTGTAAATTGAGGGGAGAAAGAGGAGGAGAAGGAGAGGCTGAACAGAGATAAATTCTTAAAGAATAATAAGAATTTCTGTTCGCATTTTAGTAAAAATGATTATTTTTGCATTCATATTTTGGTCATTTTATTTTCACATTTTGAAAAAAGAAAAAAAGAGATAATATTAAATAAAGATTGAATTTAGAGTGTTTATAAATCGAGAATTATGTAGAGAGTTTATGAATCCAGAGTTAAATAAATGTAAACATTTATCATTACGGGAAAGTAATGCACATTAAGTAAAAAAATTATAATGTACACAAAGAGATCATGAAGGAGAATCGATAGTATTGGTGATGTTAGTTGATGATATAAACCAAACCCAATCCGCCACTTGGAAAAAATTTTACATCAATTTCCCAGTAAAGGTCATGTCCTTTTGAATAAAATTTGAGAAATCAAACTGATGCAGGAAAACAAACTAGTTGTACTCAAAATGCAGTCCCTTGTCAGTTAAGGGATAATTAAGCATGATTTTTTACATAACTAGTTTATTTTCCTCTTATTCGGAAAGAATGAGTGGAACAGGATTAATATTCTAAAATTAAACTAGCCTGATGGTATTGGTTTGCAGGTAGATGATGCAAGGAGATGGTGTACAAAATAATGACTTTTTTAAAATAATTACCATTATGACTTTTAAAAATAATGCTGAATATTTTTCATCTTCCAGAGCCATAATTCAAAAGTAAAACATTAACAATTAATAAAATATTAATTAATATATTTTTTTTTACCTGTCATCATAGCACATGTATGACTTTCCATCAACTCTCCTAGAGGGGGTAAATACTACATTTTGCGTTTTCTCAAGTTCTTCCAATATATACTGGTCTGTGGTCACTATAGGACCATTTCTACAATGCCGTCTAAAAAGTGGTACGAATGCTGTGACCTGAGGGTGACCTTTTTTCAAAAAATAGTCTACACAGATTTTTATGCCTTTACATGAAAACGTATTTTGTGGTTTCCCATGCCTAAAACAATGAAATAATATATTTTCTTTGCAACAACCCAAAAACAAACTTAAAACTAATAAACTGAAATGGAGGAAAAAAAGTTATTTATAAAGTAATACAGTAACTGACTCAAGAAAATATCAAAAGTAGAAAAAGTTTTATCATGATGAATTTTTTCCAATAATATTTTCATCAAACATATCTTTTTCTTTAAATAAATAAAAGATACTTTGAAATAGTGTTAAATATAACATAATATCATTTGCAATTTTAAAAAATCATGTTTATCATGCAGTTATTAGAAATTAGAATCATTACCAAAATAATTTTTTTTCAAGAAAAAAACTTTCTTTAGAAAATACTTTTTTTAGGAATCTTTCAAATTTTCAACATTTTGCCGAGATTGAACAACTGCAATTATTATAAATGCCCTTAATATATTATAAAATTAATTACAAATTAATAAGTAAATATCATAATTAAACAAAGTAAAATTATTGCATGCAACTAAAATGGATATTAAGTTAATATCTTATCAAATGTTTATGTATCTAAGATTTACGCTAAAAAAGAATTAAGACTAGTTTTAAATAAAAACTATTTATGAAATGTCATACAAATTCATATGAAAAACAAATATTTAAAATAAATTAGCATTTACTAGGGTCAGGTGAGTTCAAGTGGGTACATGAGGTAAAGTGAGGATGTGATAGAAAAAATAAATGAATAAATAAAACATCTATTTTCACCTTTTCAATTGAGATAATTTGCTTAATTTTTTAGAGACATCTACTAGGATTGCGACAAGCGTTTATTTATATTTTTTTTTAGTTTTAAAATTTGATTAAAAAACCAAACGTTTACAAATGATCTTTTTATGATCAACTTATACAGTATGTTAATTTAAGCTTTTGATGAACTTTCTTTTAATATCATTAAAAACTGGGAAAAACTATTAATTTTACATCAACCTGTTAGAGGGACATCTAAAGAACATATATACATAGAAATTTAAGAATAAATTTAAAAATTATATTTATAATGAATTGATTTCTGAGGTGGGGTAAAATGAGTATATGGTTAGGCTTAGGTAAGTATCAAATGATAGGGATTTTTTTTTTACTTTTGGGTTAGCTTATTAAAGTATCTAATACTCTATATTTCACAATGAAGCAGCTAAAAAGTAATTTACTTGTTTGATTATAGTCCTACATAGTAATTTAAACACTTAAAAAAAATTTTTCTCCAATGCCCACCTGTGGCAACATCCGTCAATTCAGGCATATACGGGGCGATTTTGTTGGCCTCTCTTTCAGGGGCACCATATTAGGTGGGCCAACGTCGCTCCCATAGTGAGGACAGATTGTACAGAGAAGGAAAAAACATACATGCCTTGCCCGGGATTCGAACCCAGAACCTTTCTGGTGCAAGGACAATTCCCTGCCCCCTACTAAGGCCGGTTGGCCCACTTAAAAGAACATATCGTTTAAAGTTTACTTTTTAAAGAGAATTATACAGGCAGGGGGAGAAATAACAATAAAACAGACATTGTATACAATTAAAAATATTACCAAAATAGCATAGTACAACTTAGTGAGCATATATAAGGATATAGATGAGTTCTCACGCAAGTTTATGCCTTCATATTGCAGTCAAAATAGCTAAATTGCATAAATAATACATGTCTGCTATAAATAGTAAAAACACTTTAAATTAACACTATAGATATGAATTTTTACATTCTCATTTATATTTCAAATGAACCAAAAACTATTATAGTTTTCCTGCTTTTTGATGATATAGTGTAGAGTTCTGCAAAATATACTGCATCTGAAGTTAAACCTAATTTTTATAATTATTTTAATTTAATAATAATAAGAAGAAGAAAAAAAATTAGCATTTATTTTTTTAAATATAATCATGGCACATTTATTTAAGAGCATTTGTATTTCTCAAACAATATTTACATAAGTTTTTTAGTGAAATATATACTAAATTTAGAACTTACATATACATTTGAAAGCATTACTATAAGAAAACAAACAAACAAAATAGATAAGTTATGCATTATCATTGGATTAATATAATTTAATCTATATTAATCCAATGTATACAGAATGCATTAAAATTTCCAGTATAATATATTGAATTGTTTGGTTTCAGAGCCTTTAAAAAAGAAGCTTGATTTTATACCCACTTTAGCACATCTGACTCTATATAACAGAATTTCAGCATCATAGAGAATTGAGACGAAAATAATAATGTAATGAAATATTAAACAGAAAACATCCAAAAGTTAATTTTGGCAAAAATTAAGTAATGAATAAGAAACCCAAAAACTACTAGGACATTAAATTCTTTTGTTAATTTTTAATTATTTCTCAATTTTGTCTGATACTGATAAATCTAAATAATTGGAGTTCTGGTGTGTTTTATTTAAGTTACTTAAAGGCAATTCCAGCATTTACAAATGTCATGTATGCAAATTTTAAAAGTAAAAATCTCGTGTTAAAAAAAGAACAAGTAATTTTAATGATTTTTGCTCACTAACTCATGGTATCATTTTCCCTTACTTCAATTTTTATTCACTTTTAAAAATTATTATAAATGAAAAGCTGGCTGTTACAGATGTAACACATTGTGTTTCAGTGCGTAACACTTAGTTTATAACTTTTAAATAATTTTTAAGCAAATGAAAGTTACAAATAATTGGAGTAAGTGTAGAAAATACCAAGAGTTTAAATTAATAAAAATTATTAGAACAGTTTGATTTTTTTTTAACTGATTCATATAATTGTTTTACTGGCTCAGTCACGCCACATTTAGATGAGATTTCTGCCACATATGTAAATGGTGGAATTGCTCATACATTACAGTACTGTACCATAACTAAGACTGGGCCATAAATTGATATATTACAAATTATCGATTTAACACATGCATCATCAAGCCGATATAGCGGCTTTCATTTCTTGCTAGCATCAGAAATCTGATTTAAGTGGCCGATATAACGATTTAACACGCGAAGATCTTAAACTACGGTAACACGGTTACCGCTCTGACGTAGGCAATTTTGATTTCGGCTTGTTAGGAAAACGATGTTCGCTTCATGATGTTGAATGGCAAAGAGCCGATTGAATCAGGAGTCACAGTTTCATGAAATGTAGAACACAATGCAGTTTTTTAATGTAAGCTTCTTCCGTCTGGATTTTATGTTTCTTGAAGATTATTTTCAGTCGGACTTATGTTATTTTTTGGTGGCTGTACATTATTCTGTTACTTTCTTTTCTCTTCTTTTTTTTTGTCTGTCGGGATTTAACATTAGTTGTCAATTAATTTTAGTAGGCTTACAGTAAGATTAACTTTGAAATTGCTATTATTTTACTTTTATTTTTGCCCTTAACTTTCATTCTCAACTATTAATAAAAAGAAATTATAAATAAAAAAATTATATTCCTTACATTTTTTTTAAAAAAATCCTTTTTAATTTTAAGCGATACAATTTAATAGCGATATTTTGTATTTAAGTAATTTATACTTGTTATAAAATATTTTTTTATTAATTTAATGCACATGAGTACAATAATTTGATAAAATTTGATGATTATTTTTAAACCAGTAAATCCTTGCCGTTTTTAATTATAAAAAATTAAACAAAGCTTACATTTATTTTTAATATTCTTTATTTTTATCTTGATTTTTTAAAAGCAACACTTTACTTTTTTAAATCTTTTATTAAAACAAAAATATTTTGTACTTAAGTTCCTTAGTTTTCGTAGCCATTTTCTCTAAGTTTACTTAGTTTTTGTAACCATTTTCTCTTAATATTTTCTCAATATATATAAGTTATTTGTTCTTTTAAACATTACTTAAAACTCTATAAATCTTTAGCCTTTATTTTTTTTAAAATTTAAACAAAGTTAAGGTTATTTACATACTTTTTCTAAAAAAAAAAATTCAATTATTAAGTAAAACAACAAAATTTTTTTTAATTAAATAAAAAGTTAAGCAATGTTTAAGCTAGCTTTAATAATTTAACAATACCCAGACATGCAACCTCTCAGATGCGCTGTGCATTCTCATGAATAAAAGTATAAACGAAATTTTCCTGTTATCAGTTTGTGATATTTAACAATTCCCGACTTGAAGGAGAGAAAAATTGTTTACAATCGAAACAAGTAGGGAATTTTATAATATCACAAACTGATCAAGGCAAAATTCTATTTACATTTAAGCTTCGTGAGCATGCGCAATAGCATTGATACCCACACTACGTCACTTGGAGATATCCCATTTACTTTAGTTTGCTTTTTACGTTCGTTTTTTTTTTTTTAAACACTAGTATGTAAAATATTTTGTTATAATTTTATTATGATTTTTAAAACAATAAATCTTAAGTTGTTTTTAATTTTAAAAATAAAAATTAAAACAAAGCTTGTGCTTGTTTTTTCATTTTAAGACTTTTTTTTATCAGTCTTAAGTAAATGAAACTTTATTATTATAGTTGAAAAATTAAGCAATGCTATTAATGTTATAAAAGCATTTTTTTATAATTAGCATTTTCATTTGTTTTAGTTTATTTCTTTTATTTATTTTCTTCCTTTTTTTTGATTTAACATTTCTGATTGTGTAGTTCTGACTCAAAAGAAATAAGTTTCGAACATAAGTTATATCGCCATATAATATCGATATAGAGATAATGCTATGTATAAGTTATACTCAAAGAATACATACGCTCGTGCAACGTTACTGCCATCAATAACTACCGGTCTGAGTCGTTTGGGAGGTGTACAAATGGCTTTTGGTACAATTGGTAACTGTTGTACCTGATTCACAGTATCTTCTTCATCTGAAGAAATTACAACAACATCATCATCATCCACTTCAGGAACAGTTTTTGTACTTGGTGTTAGTTCAATTTGTGGGTTTGTTGTGCAAATAGGAATAAATTCTTCAGCAGTTGGAACATCTATAATAATGACTGATTCGTCCTAATTAAAAATTACTCAGATTATAGATGGATTAAGTACTGTTATATTATAGAGGCAAAACATAACATATAATACAAAAAAAAATTGCTATAAGTTAAGGTTTATTGCAAATTGATAACTAAGAACAATTGAGGGTCAAAATTATCATAGTCATCTCTGTACTGACTTAATCCTTAATTCTTTTTATTCAAACAGTATAGTGTATGCTAATTTGTTTAAATCTCTTTTAACTCCGTAACCATTAGTGCTAGTGTTCTGAAATTTCAGCTTTGATTACAAAGAACAATTTAGTCCCTCATCCTAAAAAATGTTTAAAAATTATTTCATTCAGGAGAAATGTTTGAAAAATTATTTTTTTTACATGCCTTTGTAATAAATGAAATTGCAAATGGTTCGATTGAAGATTTCATTGCTAGTTTTTTAATGTTTAATTCTTACTCAGTTCAGTCATCAATGTAAATGGCATATGCATCGATGCTATGTCACTAAAATAGCATAGAAACCATTTGAAACCACATATTTATTTTGTCTAAAAAATCTTTCCACAGAACAAAATATAAAAACATAAACCTGGATCTTCAGTTTCTAAATACTTGATCTACTCTGTCAATATTAAGAGTAGATCAGAAGATTTATTTAAGCTTTTCTCATTAGTTATACCTACAATACAAATACATTTGACCTCATATCAAGTTTTACTGTAACTAAAAATATCTTAAAATAAAAAAGTTTTTGAATAACAGTAACACTAAATAAACCACTGACTTTTAATTTCTTTCCTTAAAAAACTGCATAAGAAACTATTAAAACAAATTTTAAAACAAAATTTCTAGAAAATCAACAAAATTTCTAGAAAATCAACAAAATATCTAGAAAATTAACTGAGACTATATCAAATCAATTCTTATAAATTACAATCAATATCTTATTTCTCACATTTTCAAGCAAAATCACAGAAAAGTTGTTTTTTAAAACTATTTCATTCTTGCTTTTCATTCTTCATTATTATTGGAAAACTATTATTCAATATAAAAGAATTTATTGAAGTCTTAGATAATCAAATGTGGTACGGGTCCATTAAAGGGGAAGATTTAAAAAAAACTTCCATACAATTAATTATCCATGTGTTTCTTAATTAATTGCGGTAATCGATACAACTGACAGTGTGTAAATAACTGCTATGGTAATAAGTACCTAATATACAAACATAGATACATGATATAGGTGATATTTTTACTCTTTAATGACAAAGTAACTGAAACACTTACAGCATTAGTAGTGTTTACAATACAACTGACAGTGTGTCTAAATAACTGCTGTGGTAATAAGTACCTAATATACAAACATAGACACATGATATAGGTGATATTTTTACTCTTTAATGACAAAGTAACTGAAAAACTTACTGCATTAGTAGTGCTAGTTACTTCGCAGAATGGAGAATGATTTCCTGATCTCACAGATGGTACAACAGAATCAATTTCAATAATTTCAGCACAAAGTTTTTTTCTAGGAGGCTCCTCTTCGTTTTGTTTCACACATCTTTTTCCTTCCTTGGCATTTTCATCTTCTGAGTCACTGTTTAGTATAATTACAGATTGATCTCCTTCTTGACCACCCGATACCAATTTTTGTTGAAATAACAATTTTCGATTCAGGAATCTCTGTAGGTACATATGTTCATTTCAAATTAATGAAGCCAGGATAAAAAATAAAACACACAAAAATTATATTTAGAACAAAACTATAATAACTTAATAAAAATTTATCTTTCTGGCTTATAAAAGATGTACATTTCTTAAAAATACCCATAAATAAATGCTAATTAAGGTATGTGATATCAACTTTAATCACTATAAATTATAAAATAAAATTAAACTTAGATTAAATTATCCTATTTAAAAATTACTAAAATGAAGTATAATTTATTTAATTCTGACAAATAATATTATAAAATATTTATTTAAAATAAGTTTAAAAAAATTATTGATATGAAATGTTTTTATTTTGCAATTTCAAGGTAAGGTCAATATTAAAATGACTAAATTCAAAAAAACCATTTTCTGACTTTTCCGTTAGTCGGGCGAAAATGTCACCAATTGTGGACCAAACGCGAGCCAAGTCGCCAAGCAAAGTGAATGACAAAACAGTCGACGGTATAAAAGTCGAAAACATTCAGCTATAAATTGTTGCATCGTTTGCCAATATACCTCTCTCCTGACAAAAAGAGACTGCATCTTCTTCAGTCCTGGCTAGATCCCAAATTCTCATCATTTTTTAAAACAAAAATTAAGATGGAAGAAAGAAAGGAAAATGTGCTTTGTTTTGAAAAATAAAACCTTTTTTTCTAGCAATTGAATTTTTAAAATGTTTGCAATTTAGGAAGAATTTTTTATCTAATTGATTTTACATCTTTGTCTTTGCCACAGCATTAAAATACAGATTGCGGATTTTTCTATAATTTTAATGTTCTTGAAGTTTAACTGAAGTTATGCTTCATTCTTACAAATCAGCATAAAAAGAAAATAATAAATAACAAAAATTTAAATCATGCGTGAACGAGAACTGTGGAAGAGGAAAAAAAGGGTACTGTGAAAGAAGCAATAAATGTCTTATTGAGGAGATTTTGTGAAAATTACGAAATTCAAATTCTAGAGAAGAGGAACTCACAGAGAATTTTGTTAAAATAGAAATTTTCAATTCATGGAAGATTGCGAATCTACTGTCTTATGATTGAAAGAACTTTCGTGAATTAGCGGATAAAGGACATGCGTGATGTACATATTCAACATTTAGTCGAGCAAAACCCTTCTGGGTTGTTAAACCTAATCTATCAATAAAAGATACATGAATGCGAATTAAAAACGTAAATTTTCAATATTATGTTAAAAAATTTACACATTCTGTCCTTAAATCTAAGCGTATATATATTTTTATAAGATTTTATTTTAAATGAGTATCTGTCATTACCATTCTTTCTTTCCTCATTCATTCTTACCTTCAGTGATACAAAGTTATTTGTCCATAAATTATTTAAGCTTGAATTTTTATTTTATGTATTTTAAATACTTTGATTTATAAGCCTTTTATGAAATAAACATAATTTGGGGTATAAAGCTGAATTACTGTATAAAAATTAATCATCTGAATTTCGTCGTCAAAATTGGAATAAACTTAATTTTTTTTAAAAAATAAAGACCAATGCTTTAAATTATTTATTTGATTCTTCTATTAGGTTATTACTGGCACTCAATTGTAAATTTTAAAACAACTCACAAAAACTGCATTTGTCAAATCAATACACGAATTTCATAAAGGACGGTAATAAACGTTTTTGCTAAAATTTATAAAATCAACCTTCTGGAGGGGATATTTCCACATCATGATCAGTCGCGCCGACTACAATCGACAAGGCGTCAAACAGATTTTAAACTTAAAACTTCTATTTTAATAAAAACATGTAAATGTTTTCCAGGGAGTGGCTATGAGTTATATCTGCCATCCCTGTCTGTGATGGTTTTTTTTTTTTTTTTTCTGGCAGGGGCTGCTTATAGAGAAATCTCCCAAATAGAACAGTAAATAATACAGGGGTGCCACTCTAAAAAAATTTCAAGACTGAATTCATTTTTTGACAAAATAATACTGTCTAGCGTNTAATAGTATCTGCAAACTAGTTAATTTATTTTTTTCAAGATTATTTTTGAATCTGGTGTTTGATGTATACTGATGCGTGATTTAGCATTTCTTAATTTTCAATTTTTCACAAGGGATGCATTTTTTTATTTTTTAAAAAAGCTAGATATTTGTGAAATTATAAGTATATTTAAGGCAGGGTTGGGGTTTTGGACGTCCTTAATTGGTTTCAGACAGGACATGTGGGTTTTACTGTCTTAAACTGGGTAAAACTGTCCTAAACTGGGTAAAACTGTCCAAAACCATGAACTTTGGTAAAAGGTAAAAATTCTATAGGTGTAAACATTGTACACATAATTACATGTATCAATAAATATTTGATATTTATTATACAATTTACTTTAACTTATCGAAAGAAAATAATATAATAAGAAAATATTTCCATACTTCATTTCCATACAAATACAATCATCAAATACTCCATAATTCATTGAACAACAAAAGTGAATACCTAATCCTTTAAATATAAATAGGCTTTTAATACTGATAAATAATATTTTTGTATTAGGATAAATAATGCAATATTAAAAAAGAATAATTTTTTTTTAAAAAAAATACTAAATTTGTTTAAAAATTAACATTTTATTTCTCACAATATATTTTTTATAAAAAAATTTTAATTTCTGCATCACAGGATGATAAAAAAGACATCTATTTCTAAAAAAAATTGTTTTTAAATATAAATATATTACTTTAAATTTATAATACAAAATAACTGAAAAATGTATTAACAGTTTTGAAAGGCATAACATCAGCTTCAGTTACTGACACTGGTGACGTATCACCACTATGCTAAAAGAATTGAACATGAATGAAATAACAGTATTCTTGAATCATGCTATAGGTAAATAAACCTGTTTATGACTAACCAAGCACTTAGTCCCTAATAGCTTAACCTGTATGGCAAGGTCCAACTTCAGTTATGTACTATTGAATGAGAGGACCAATAGAACTTGATTACTGATTAATCATCCTTTGTTTAATGTTTAAATTGAAGAGTCAAACAATATTAATAAAACATTATACTTTTAGAAACAATTATTCTGTAGTAGATTTCAATATCAATATGTTATTAGTTCTATGTTTATTTTACCTCTTAAATATTGTTCAGATAAAATTGTGACATAATTTGAGTAAAAGGGTTTTGGACAGTTTTGGACACAGGGGGTTTTGGACAGGATGGTTTAAACCGTGGATTAGTCCATTTTGTCCTAAACCTTGCCAACCCTGATTTAAGGAATTACAAATGTTTATAAAAGTCTACATTATTATGGAGATAATAAGGAGAAGAGAAATTATAATAACCAGTTAAACAAACCTGCACTTTTCTAATACTTTTCCTAGCTCCGATAATCTTGACAAATATTGTCTCACCTGATGAACATAAATCTGAATTTTGAAGATCAGGCATGAGTATCTTTACCATGTGTCTAGATTCTAATTTATCTTTGAATTCATATAGTATCTTATGACCAATATGTGAAACAGGTATATCTTCCATGATAAACAGTTGAAATTACAATGATAAATAAAAATGCACAAAAATATTTCACTGCCTTAATTTTGCAACAAAGATTATGATGATTTATATTTATAAATTGATGTACAGATTTGATAAACAAAGTGCAATTCGAAGTTTTGAATTTTAGACATTTAAATTAATAGCTCGTGTCACAATAATAACATTCAACATATTTTTAGTAATCGAATATCGAACAAATGATAATTTGTTTTTATCAAGATTGAGGTGCATTTGGCTTGCAACTTACATGGGAGCGCGTTCGAACTGGTGAAATTAGTTTCTTACGCAACGCTCGAATACGCCATCTGGGGAGAGACCAGTTTCATGCCTTTGGCCCCTCTCCTCCTCTTTTTAGTTGTATAGGAATGTACTACGATATTTTCCCTTTTCTTAATATTTTTCTTTTCATTTAATAAAAATATCCCTGACGATGATCCGAAGACATGACATCACAATTTTGATCCTCTGCAGAGGGGATGGCACCCCTGCTTCGGTGCCCAACGACCTGCACGCAAAGTCGAGCACTTTACGGTAGAACAGTTTAACGAGGACCAATACCGCACACCCTCGGTCCCTACGCAGACTGATCCAAGTGGTCACCCACTAGCACACTGACTGCAGCCAGTTATGCTTGACTTCGGTGATCTGCTGGGAACCGTGTCTTAACGAATAGTCCACTGCGGGACACACCATATTTTAGTTCTCGATGCTTATCGAGTATAATATATTTAAATGTTCTCAGATTCTTGCTCATAGCTATTCTTGCTCAGATTCTGACCCGTATAATGCCTTGATCATCCGTTATAATTTATAATGAAGTATAGCAAGACTTGGTTACCCTTCTGCTAAAATTTGTAATTGCAAGTAGTTCGTATAATTTTTCGATATGATGTGGAATTATGATATAACAGAATTTGTCTTTTGAATAGATTAGTCACGAAAGTTTTTTTTCTTTGATCGTTGATAATTTCCAAATCTGGATCGATTATATCTTCTGGCCAGAGCTGTGGTGAATCTTTCAACCAAATCGGGCCCTCCAACCACTAGATAGATTGCTGCTCAGCAGAGCTTCCTCGTGCTTGCAGATCAGCTGGGTTAGGAGATCCGGGAAGCTTTCAAGGAAAGACTCGTGATTTGGGCACCACCTGGCATTCTTAGCGAACCAGTTCTGTCACCAAGTTGCTCTCCACAGCGCTTGTAAAAGCAGGATTTTTGAAACGTTTTTACATCTTCAGCAATAGATGCAAACGTAATTTTTTTAAAAAAAAAAATAAAAAAAAAAAATTGCTCCCAAAATTGATACAGCGATTTTCATCAACAATAATAGATGAAAAATTCTTCACCGTCTATAGGACTGGGTGATATAAGAAATTTTATATCCTGATGCATCGTCAGTTTCGCATCGCGATATAGCGATGTATCGCGATATAGTATTTTTGAAATTCATTTAATTGCAAGGTACAGGAAGTCGGATTTCTATCAAAACTTCTTACTCAGATTAATTTAAACGCACTGTCTTGGCTGACCGCCCTCTTATAACCCTAAACTTTGGCGATCTGGTGAAATGGGTGATTGCCAAACGAAATCTATCGCCAACTGCTTGGATGCCCGCTTTTTGAACGTGATTGAAAATGGCGAAAATGTTTGAGCTGGAAAGATGTAACGAATACGCTAGGAAATACATATTTTTTACTACAATATTTTTATTCATGCAAAGTGATTTCTAGATACTGGACATTAGTATTGCAGCGCTTGCTGAATTAATATAAAATAGCTCTTGGTGTCGACATTTTTACTGGCTAGCATTGCATATTGCAGGTATCATTTTCATCACTTTTCTTAGCATTATTGTCGGATCTGTGTTTTTATTTAAAGCAAGAATTTTTGTTGTTAATTATAAAGATTATTTTTGTGTGTGTGTGTGTATTGAATATTATTTGAAAGGAAATATGAATGACAAATAAGTTATAACTGTAATAAAACAAGGTTGGATGGAAACCACTTTTTTGTTTCTTATGAGTAAAAGGTTAAATTAATAATATTTTGCACCGTGATTTTAAGGTACGCATTAAAATTATCAACTTTTCTTGTATGAATATGCTTTAGTGGTATTAAAATAAAAATATTGATTCACATTTTTTTCATTGTTGGTTTTAAAAATTAGTTTACATGTGTTAAAGTTCTCTGTTTACATATTTTATTATTTGTTTGATGCTTCTATGATTACATTACTACTATAAATGATTTTTTTAAAATTTAGAATAATATTGAAAAGCACAAGTTGTATTGTAACACAAATTGTGCTTCGTGATTTGTATATTCAGTTGCANATATTTTAGTATTTTCATACCTATTTATATTGTAATTAGCGTTGAACGGTTTATCCAATTCTGAATTTGTGTCTATCAATATTCAACTCCGCAGGCATCTCATTTTGAGCCCAACACAGAAAACAAAGAAACTTTTGAGTGATGCATTGAGACAAACCAGTCATCGTGGAGGAACTAATCCCCATTTGCCTTAAATTAAGAGGATAACCATAAGAAGCTCTTATAGTTAGCACGACAGGAAGGAGAAGATTCCAACCCATGATCTCTGAGGATGTCGGCACTGAGCGGGCGAGCCGGGAGTTGAATTTACACCAGCCAGCCACCGCTGGGACTAGAACCAGGCCCAGCTCATTTGATGGCGAACGCTCTATCTCCTGAGTCATCGCGGCTCACACTTATTCATAAATTTTTCTCTTTCAAGAAAAATACATTCATTCAAACGCTCTTCTAGCTTTTCGATGCCTTCCCCATCCACCAGAAAACTATTAAGATTAATTCACACCACTAAGTAATAAAAATGGTTATAAACTGAACTAGGTTGTAAGGAATAAGAAGTATATTTCTCGATAATAAGTATTTTCCACATTTGAGTTTTTTTGCCCTATGATTTGTTGTAAATGATTTTACATTATTACATGTTAAATACATCTGTCATAATGCTGTTCATCGAGGCAACTTAATATTCTAATACTTCATGTAACTACCTTTAGAAGTAGATTTTTAACACTAACTAGTGACAGAATCGCTGATTGCGTGGTGCCACAGGTCCTGGGTTCGATCCTCGGGCCGGACAAGGTCTACTCAACCTTTCGTCCCTTCGGTGAATGGATAAATGAGTAACGAGCATGCTCGGGAACTAAACGCTGGGGATTCCGCGTTCGGCTGCTCCCACATTGCAGAGCCTAAGGTCGAGTAAACTGAGATGGGCACAGTAGGCCTTTGCCCTCTATGGGCTGTCGGGTTTCTAAGTTTAGTTTAGTTAAGTGACAGAATAGCTCCAAATATATTTTTTAATTCAGTGCTGGTGGAATAAAAAGCTTTTTTTAATAACCTTAAATAGCAATTTTATTTTGGGAGGTTATTTATTTCTGTATCATTTTGTTACAATTTTTAGAAGAGATTTTTATTTATTCATTTTTTGATGTAAAAATATTACTTAACTCAGCACAGTTGACTTGAAGGTCTTTTACATGACGGTTAAAACAAGATAAAACCGTAAGTTGTCAAAAACTTACCAACCCTGCCTATGATTATGATATTTTTTAAAGTGCTTGAAAGGTGCTTATTTTTTGTTGAATAATTTGGCTACGCGCCCTGTACAATCCCGTACATCTGGAATTACACTGAGGAGAAATGGAAAAGTGTAAATTTCTAAAAAATCTGGAAATTTCTAAATGGAGAAATCAATCTAAACCGAAGGCTAGAAAGAGAAGAAAAAAAATTTTTTTAGGATCCCCTGACATTTATTTTTAATAGTGTAAGTGTTACATGAAGATTAAAATTTTGTGCCAAAAACTTTTCATTGAGTAGGACAAATATGTTCATGGTTATTTCTGACTCTTTTTGTCCTCTTTATGTGAATGTTTCAGAAACTCATTTCTTTAAGAAAACTAAGAGTCTTCTCAATTTTCTAAGAAAAATAAATAATATTTATTTCATAATGGACTGGAAATATTGTATTGTAGAATTTTTATATGAAACAAACAAAAGCAATCTTCAGTTTCTTTTAATTTTGAGAAATTTTGTTTATTTATTTTTTTTACAAAAATTTGTTACAGTAGCGTTTTATTTAGATGAAACCTAAAGTGAAATAGGGCGTTATAAGAATTTTAAGCTATAGTGCAATTTTTTTAAATTAAATAATAATTACTATCTTCTCCTGTAAGGTACAATTCTTTGGTATTAACTTTTTATTAAATTCATCTTTCATCAAAATATATTATTTATTTATAAATGCTTCCATTTCTATAAATGTTACAAAATGTGACAATTTATGTGTGTATGAAATCAAAATATTTAATTAAAAATTGAATATTTTTTTTTTTTTTTNTTTTTTTTTTTTTTTTGAATGTGTATTATCCAAAGTGCTTTTATTTATGAAAAAAAAATATTACATTGAATGATATTTGTATGAAGTCATAATGTTTTTTGTTTTCTGTAAATTTTTTTAGCAAGCAAATTTTCCAAGTGATTTTTTGTGAATCAACATTGTTATGGAATTTTTTTTTATTAGAATAACGCATTAATTGTTTGTGTTATCCATCTGAGCTTTTTTATTTTGAAGGAAGGGGGGAACTGATTATCTTTCTAGTTTATTTACATTTTTGGAGTATTGGTGAAAATCTTATTAATCTGAAGTTGCAATATAATGAAAAAAAACTGGACAATTGGACAGTTTTTGATAAAACTCTTTGATAAATCCCTATTTTTGTATGTATGTGGAGAAAAAAAATCTTGTTTATCTTTTTTGTGGAAAAATTTATTTAAACTGTGGAAATCTAGGCTTATGGAGCCTTGTTTGAAAATAAATGTTTACAAATTTACTGTGTCTGTCTATNTTTGACAGCGACATGGTTTGTATACCGTTTTTTCTGAAAATTCAGCCGTTTAAATAAAATATAATTATGTTTCTTTAGATTTTCAAAGATAAACAGAAAATTCAAATGACGTAGCTGCATTCTTTCTTGTTTTCTAGCTGCATTTTAGCTATTTTCTCAGCTTTAATGCGAGGAAAATAAGATTTTCCACTTTTTTTCCTGCCCGCCGGATAACTCATATTTTCGTAATTCAGAAGTGGCTGCTTATCTTGTCGATTCTTATTAATGCAATTTAAATATTGTACATTGCGATTCTTATTTACGAGGTTTAAAAATCCAATGCCGACC